CATTAATGGCGACTCCTGATTGCACTGGCGCTCGTTCCATAACTTCTTTGCGCTTAATAGAACAACAAGTTTGATTTATATGTCTAAATAACATAAAAAAAAATCGAAATAAATCGCTTGAATAGGAAATAAATATTATGATTTATTCGAATAAAATTAAATGTTGTTAGATACGATGATTGGATACTATATAAATTGAAATTTTTAATTTATTTCAATAAAGATAGTAAAATTTAAAGATTAAAAAACAGTATAATCAAGTATGTATGAATCTTACAAATTTTCTTTTGAATCAATTGAGTGATTATCGAAAATTTGATAAAAATAATTCAATCGACATTTGGAAATACCTACGTTTCAAATTTCACCAAAATTCCCCTAGTTTTTCACTATCATTCGAGACTCGCCGGTGAAAAATCCTCCCCTTCACCTATACCCATACGTAACTTATATACGCAACGCTGTTCGTTGACAGAGCAAATATTTTCACGCCACAAGGCAAATGCACGCAAAAATCCGAGTCACCGTGGCAAGAAAAACCTTTCTTGCACCTGGAATCACGCTCGACGACGACGCGATCCGCGCGCAGGCAAAGAATTTTCTCCTCGTGAAGGAGATCGTCGATTCCACGGTTTCGCATCTAGCATTTTTCACCTAGCATCGTCATAATGCGAGCTCCCGACGGGCTTCGAGATCTCGAAGATGAACGTCGACGCGAGGAGATCGTCCTCGGGGAGGGCGAAAAATATATCCTTACCGACTGTCGGTAATATCGCGAATAGTTTTGATTCCGGATAATATGGGATTTTCCAGGGAGAGAGAGTGTATGTGTATGTGCGCGTGTGTTGTGTCCATGCGCGAGAATAACGCTCGTTCGTCTGAATGAATCAGATGTCGTCAACTTGATGAGGAGGAGGGAGGAATGAAAATCAAAAGCAATTATTTAAATGCGTTCCACGTCGCGAACCTCTCTCTCTCTCTCTCTATTTCATTGTTATGTGTTTGTTAAGTTTTTTCTCTCGTTTTTTTTTTTTTTTTTTTTTTTTTTGTTTTATTTTTCTCTCATTTCATCTTCTCAGTTTTATTTATATATCGTCGCTGTGCAACGACCTCCCATTTTTCGTGGCCGCTCCTTCCTTTCGCAAAATCTAGAGGGTATGTGTTTTATATATATATATATATATATATATATATATATATGAAGGTTGAAAGAGGATTATAACTTGTTTTCGGTAAACTGTTCGGTGTTCGGTATTAAAATTTGCATATCAAACAGAAAATTTTCCTTTGCTATTAATAAATTGCTTAAAAAATTGAGAATAATACGAGAGAAATTTTATTTTAATTTAACGCTAAGGTCTTTCTTATTGAAAAATACATAAATTCTTTTAACAGTACATTTCATAAAAAATTCATTTCTTTGGAAACTTTAATTATAATTATATTATGCAGATGTACTTATGCAAAATTTATGGAATATTTAAATATATACAAAAGGTGTAGAAATACCTTGTGTATAAAATATGCAGACATATACAAAATATATTCCAAGTAAATTATTCATTTAAATTCTATTTGTGTACATAAATATATGAATCTGTAATTTATAATAAAATACTTATATATCTTTTATAACGTCATCATGAAAATAAAAAGTCACAAAATATCTATTTCTACAAACAAGTTTAAATTCTAAGAAATGAGATAGAAAGAAAAAAAAAAATACCAATTCTCGATCTTTCAGTCATCAAATTTTACTATTCAAGATTTTCTCTAAACATCCAACAATTCAAGGCTTCAATTAAAGGTTAATAATCAATAACAAAATATATATCCACTTCGAGACAAATTTAAATTCTAATAAATAATCGAACACAATCTTACAACACTTCCAATAACAATCCAAAAAAAATATCCCAATTTAACAAATTTTCACGCCATTATTCAAGCAGTTCCTTTGAATCCAACGACTTCATATCACAAACACAAGGATATCGGTTGCAATTTAAAAAAAAAAAAAGAAGAAAAAAAAAGAAAGTCGAGCGAATTGAAGAAGATTCCATCGTGGCTCCACTTTGTCGTTTACATATCTTAGCTTTGACATCGCATCGTGCTCGTAAATTTTACATCACCCTTTTAGACCCATCCTGTTACACCCGTCTCCCCGCGTCAATTCGCGCCCCCTCGAAACCATCGCTCCTTTTTCTCATTTCGTAGCATGACTCCATGGGAGAAAAGGGAAAAGCAAGCGGCCGACGGAACGTCGACTTTTATTACCGTGACTCTCGAATCATTTGGCTTGGAGAAGTGCACGTCGAACAGGTTGACGTGTGGGAACAATGACGTTGCAACGTTGACGAGCGTGGCGTCGATCCTTGTAAATTTTCCCCCTTCGATTTCCCCTTGCTTGCTTTGTGACTTGAATCAGACAAGATCGGTGACATTGCGATTATAGCGAAGGAACAATTCGTTTTACAGGGATAAATGTTTTATCATTATTTGTTGCGTGTTTCGAGATGAAAATAAAGGAGGAGGGAGGAGGGTGATGCTTGAAAATTATTTCTAAATTTTTTTTGTAATCTTTCAGATTATTTGAACTTGAAGATAATTTTATTTATTTTACTCAATTTATATTGAGAAAAATAGATGTGAGGGGAATAAATAATGCAAATAATTTAAATAATTTAAATAATTTTCTTTCAGATTATTTGAATTTGAAGATAATTTTATTTATTTAATTTATATTGAGAAAAGTAGTTGCGAGAGGAATAAGTAATGTAAATAATTTGTGATAAAAAAAAATATTGAATTTTTATTACCAATACAATTGGTTTCATTTTGAAATATGAATGGATTGAATTAGCATTGTGACCAAAGAGTATTGAATCATATATAATTGGAGAATATTGAAATGATGGAACTTTGTTAATTACTTGGATATGTTAATAATCGATTCTGCATTTATTGGAAATTTTAATCTTACGATAAATTTTAAGTTATTTATAATTGATATATTTTACGCTATATAAAGTTAATTGATCATTTCAATTGATGATTCGATTGATCATCACACTTCATTGCCTTCTTTTATTATCGTTCATGTTTGATTTAATTTATCGAAATTACGTATCGATTAATAATCTCCCCTCTCGATCTCTGAAAATCGTTCAAACCTATATAATGTGTAATAAATTTTAATTAATCTAAAATTAAATCGAGCATAAGCTTCATTTGTATTATCCTATTAACTTTAATATTTAACTTTTACTCCAATAATAAAATATTTCTATTAATTAAACAGTTATCCAATATTCAATTGGAATAAAATTTCTTATAATAATAATTCTTCGCAACCAGTACTTTTTATTTAATCTTTCACTTTAATATTTCGTGAAAATTCCGTGAAATTCAAGCGTTCTCAAAGTCTAACGGATTCAGAAGTTCGAGAAATTTCGTGTCGGAGCAGAAACAACACACGCGGTTTCCTTCTAACCTGATTAATATTTCCGGTTGGAATATAAAATCTGTGTCGTCCGCTGTTGTTAACAGAAACCGTACAAACTAGATGGAGTGCAAAAAAAGAAAAAAGAGCACGAGTTTACAACGTATGACAGGCACATTTTCATAGGCTTCGTTCTCGTTCCACCTACGAGTAGCCCGGAAACAGGCAGCATCCACCTGCCTTCCGCCATTTCGAAAACTTGGCTCGGATATTATCGAAATTTTCTCGAAATTATAATGGAATAATATAAAAATAAATAAAATTATATATTTTTAGGAATAGAAGAAGAAATATTTAACATTTCAATAATTTTTAATTTAATTCGTTATCCATCTTTCTCCCAAAATAATTTGTCTTCCTCGTCGTCTTCAGTTTCAATCTAGTCAATCTCTTTCCTCAGAAGGTATCGAAAAGATAGATGCTATCGAAATTTTATCTAAATTATGATCGCAAAATGGTTTGTGGTCTAAAAATCTAAGCTCATGTGTTATCGATAATTTTTAAATTTAATTCGTCGACAATTAAATTATTCTTAACAACTTGATCCCAACATCTCTCTTATCCATTTTTCCGCTAAAATAATTAATTTTCTTCCTCTCCTTCGAATCGGTCCAAAGAAATCTCAGTCTCCATTTATAACGAAATTCCTTCCGATTTTCACGGCTTCGCCGGAAGAACGAGAACAATTTGCCGCGGAATTGTTGTTCGGCCTCTGCGACGAATAAAGGCCCCGATACCCAATTACCACCTCGACGTTTCTCGAACGAGTAGCTCTGCAAAAACTCTCTCATTCACCATCCATGCGATTATTTTTTGAGAAGAAACTGTTGAAGAAACAAATGCACGAAACAGTCGTCCAGATGACCATCACCAATTACTCGAAAAGATTCGTTTTGTTTCCGACTTGTTTCCTTCGAATTAAATCCATTTGCTGCAATTTTGCTTGTTGCAAAATTCTTATAAACAGGATTGGAATTTTATTATTATATACGAATGAAATAAAATACAATATGTTTCGATTTATTTCAATCTTTCATTTTATCGATCGAAAAGAAAAAGCAAAAAATATTAACATCGTAAAGATCGATGAAATACGATTCAAATAGAGATCCGCAAATATCCATTTAAAAAAGTTCCTTGTTATTTTTACAATGTTCACTTTTGATCGGGGAAAAAAAGGGGGATGAAAGCACAAAGGGAGGAAAAAAGAAAAGAATAGAGAGAGTTGGATGCGAGAGTGAAATCTGAGCGCTATAATTTCGCGAAAACCTTGGGCATCGAGCTAATCCTTGTCCCCGCTAATCGAGGCCTTTTCATTTCTTCGTAAATTGCCATCGAGAACCGTCCCTCCTCCCCTCCTCCGATTTTGCTCTGTGGCGTCGGTTTACCCGATCGTGGCATACGATAAAACGTCAGACCAGAAACCTTAATCGAAATACCGTTTAATCGGGGATTTATTAAGGCCGTTGCTCTGATTCTCTATTCGATTATGTTTCAGGTTTGATCACGACCAGCGGACGGAAGCTCGATCGGGAGAACCAGGCGGAACACGTTTTGGAGGTGAGTGATTTCAATGCGAATGATCACTCGTTCGTAAATGGAAAAAATATATATATATATGCATTATTGAATTTTGAACTAATTTTCAAACTCATTTTTTCGATAATTCTAGAAAATCTTTTGAATGAACGATCGTTGAGGATAATATCGCAAGTGAAATTTAATTTTCGTGAAAAATTGTTGGTCGCGAAATTTATTTCTTGACAAAAAATTTGTGGAAAAGAAATACTATGACATGTGATTTATTCAATAATATTATTTAAGAGAAGTGTTTTCAATTATTAATTGGAGTATAGATGAGAGAAAATCATTGAAATTAAAAATTTAAATTAACAAATAATACGTAAAATATTAAAAAATGAATCGAAGAATTATTAATAATCATTTACAAACTCGATTAATATTATCTTTAACGAAATTATAATTTTCTATTATAAAATACTCTACTTCGAGAAGTTTTAAATTTTAAAAAAAAAGTAAGATTTTTCACAAACATAATTTTCAAATATCTCCTCTCAAACATTCTCAAACTCTCCTCACTCGTATACATTACATTCAATCGTCCTTGTTTCAAGAAACTTAATCCTTAAGCAACAATCCCTTTCAACGATTGGATCAAATCCCAAACTGCACTTGGCTAAACACACTTTGGAAACGACAATCCACCTAGTTTCCACACGTTGTATTTCAACTCGTGACACGTTACGTACGTACACTTTAATCGTTTATTTTCTAACACAATTCCCGGTCTTTGAGAGAGTTTTGATACCAAAGCTTACCAGCTTCCTTGCTCCAAGTTAGTTTCAAAATAATTATCTTACGCCGAGTATAATCATACGTCGTACCACTTCGCAACGAGAGCCTCGATTGCTGAATTTTGAAGATGATAAAGTTAAATTTCGCGGCAAAACGCCGCCATCTTGCATCCTCTTGCTTCAGCTTAGAGCTGTTCTCATAATCGTGGAAATTATTTTGATTGCTGTATTCGTGAATCTCTAATGTTTCTGATTATTAACTCGAGGAGTTCGTTTTACATCGAATCTCAACAATTAATATATTTATATTCCAAATAAATATTTCAATATCATTAGATATTTTTTTATTCTATATACAATTTGTACAATCGGTAAAGTAGGATAATAATATTATTTATTTTAATAATATAGCTCTGTATAAAATTCTTATAAATGAAACAACGTACAATATTTTCTTCGTTTGTTCGTTCAAAATAATTGAAATAATAAATGACTTCATTATCGTAACATCCTGTTACGATAAAAATGATCCACAAAACATTACTAGAAGATAATCCCAATTATAACAAAGATTATCAAAAAATAAAAATACTTATTGTATAAGAAAATAGAATGCCACATTGAAAGGGTTGAAATAAAGAGTCGAAGTTGCCTGATTACAAATAGCAAAAGTATATATGAGAGATTGTATGATATATGATTCCATCATGGCAAATTTTGAATTAGAGAATTTGCAAATATGCGACAGGATTATGAATTTGAATAGTTTACGTGCTCGTTGTATATATAATATAATCTTCTGACGTTTTACAGCAGAATAAATGGATAGCGTTATAATTGAAGATATCAAAGAAGGACGCATTGAATCGACCATTTACAAATTTTCATAATTTAGTAATTAACGATAGGGCGTAGCAACTAATTGCTCGTAATCCTCTTTTATCATTCGTTAGCGTGGAACGTAACACATTCATGAATATATTGCGACACCGCATAATGGAGTTGAGGCCATATTATCCGAGGTGATTACGAGTGTTGTACTATTATACATTTTCATATTATACATTTATATATTGTTGTGCAAAATTCCGTTATTTCGAACGTAATAGAAATTCTCGTTAAAACAACGCCTCTAAACAAACTTTCAACATTTAAAGAATAATATAAAATTTATCGATATCAAAAAAATTTTTCGTAAGGAAATATATCAAATTTCATTAAAAAAAAATTCTTTGAATGAGTAACGAAAAAATAAAAATAATGGGAAAATCCTACTTCCAAAATAATTAAATATATATATTGTGATCGCCAACGTTTCGAATTTCGATCCTTCGATTCCACTCGAATCGTTTAATCTTTTTCTTTTTAAATGAAAAAACACCGAGAGGAGAAGATTACAATAGCGTAGCTCGTCGGGCATGGGGGATTAAAGCCATTCGCAGTGGAAATCTTTCAGAAGCATCGATCGGGGAGTGTCGTTACGGTAAATCGAATTTCCTAACTGTGTACTAACGCAAACAGGTGATAGCTCGATTACCGATGCATCCTTTCCACCTCTTAGTCTTCCCTCAAACTCTCTCGTCGAACCATTGCTCCCTCTCCATCCCCTAATATTGTCAGACTGGAAATGAGGAAGAAAATCGCATCCTCCCGAAGATTGAAAAGTAAAATGAGGAGGAACCTCCTGTCTCTGAGAAACCGAGAGGGCCAGCTTTAAGGGTGTCGTTTTTCCCTCGAAAAAACACCCCTCTCTCTCTCTCTCTCTCTCTCTCTCTCTCTCTCTCTCTCTCTCTCTCTCTCTCTCTCTCTCTGCGTCATCCTGGTCTCTCGAGGGATTCCTCTTCGCGTTTGGATTAAAGGAAGAGCACCTTTTGCGCTACTTTGTGTGTGCACGTGTCAAGACCAACGCCAGAATTTCGTTACAATGGAAAGAGCAAAGGGTAGGTGGTGTAGCAATCTCGGGAAAAGCTTCGTCGGCCACGAAAAAGGGGGAGAGAGAGAGGGGAGTTTACGAATAAATAGACCTAGTGGAGAGAGGCTGCTTACTTTCCAACCCATTAACGAGCTTTTGCGTGTCGATGGATCGAGTGGACAAGCGTGATACGATTCTCGGCGATGAAGAGGAATTTATCTGGAATCGATTGAACGATTGGAAACTCGGATTAAATTGATTAAAATGATTAAAAGGATCGCTATTTATGCGACGTAATACGAATCGAGGGAGGAGGCGTTTTTAGTGGATCGAGGTCTATTTGGAATTTTCGTTTCGTTTAGTTTTAACTCTGCTCTCCAACGGTGACTCTCGGTTAATACCGCGACAGTATTTATTTATGTTTGATTTTTTTTAGAATATCGCTTCATAAATAGCTTCCTAAGTTCTTTGTGTATAATCTTATGAGGTGTAATCTTATCTTGTGAGTAATTATCTTATGGTAATCTTATGAGGCTATCGCGCGGGTCTGAGTCTGGAGTTGCTAGTTCGACCAGCGAAACAGGCAAAGGAGTGCAAAGGGTTAATAGGTTTTTGGTTCGGGTCAATCTTGTGAATTTTCTTCTCGATGTTTGATGTAGTTTGGTGGAGCATGGCGTATGTGATTGATGAAATGTTTTAATTCTAGGATAGTTTAAATATTTTTTTTATTATTTAAATTTCGAGAATGGTGTCATTTTGGAAAGAAATTTGGTGTGAAATTTTGGAAAGAATAGTTGTTGTAGAATAGAATTGGTTAAATATTTTTTCATATCCCCAAACTTTTTCCAGTTTTTCTTGTTTCGAATGTTTAATGATTGTTATTTTAAAGGGATTTTGATGATACTATAAAGTAAGAATGATGTCCTATGAAAAATCGTATGACTTAGGATATTCTATCCTCTCGATTTTACGTATATACTTACGTTATATTCAATTTTTATTATTCTTCATAAAGATAAAGGTAATAAAATTGAGATAAAAATGTTCGTGTCGATTTTGTTTTTCTTCTTTTTATTGAATTTTTTTTTTATGTTTGAAGATGTTTCTTCTAATAATATATTTTCTAATAAACAGTGTGTTGTCGTGCTATTGTCCAACGTTATTTGAATTTCGATAAAATTCAAAATCATACCCAATACGCATCTCTTTCACAATAAAGTGACATCAGTCAACATCCTAGTGTCATAACGATATAGTCAAAGCAGAGTTTCATAAATTAAATTCACTTCAGTTTCATAAATTAAAGGACTCGAGCAACAATGGCTCGAATTATTATTAATTAAATTCCATCTGAAAGCGATATCAAATTATGAGATTACAACACGATTCAAAACTTTCTTTCAACGAATCATTTTTAAACATTTTGCTCCTTTTCAGTTTCAAAAATTATTCTAAAAAAAAATCTTATCAACCAGTATGTAATAAATCCAAAGAAGTTAACGAGTAACGAGATTAACTTTTCATCTTCGCAACCGCGGTACAATTTTCAACATCTTTACAGATTTAAGCGAACACTTTTACGAAACTTATAATTTTTCCATTTCGCTTCACGCTTCACGTTTTATATTAATTGATTTTCCTCCTAAGAATAAAGATTACGAAGAAACGTCCGCATCTTAAATATACTCAAACTAAACGTATTTACTTTTTCATTAAAACTTCTTTCTTCAGAGGTTAGACAGGAAAATCACGTTTAATTCGTATTTATTGAATCAAATCCACATATTGGATTAATAATATTCTTACATCATTTTACAAATTTGTATTTTTTTTTTTTTTTTTTTTTTTTTTAATAAATAAGTTTTTTTCTCCAAATCAAATTCCGATCTTACGAAAATTACCTCTAGAGGGCTCGATTTTAAAAGCATCCTCTGTTCACAGCGCCTTCCGCTCTATAAAGCATTTTGTCTGAAACCACAAAGTAAAACCATCTGGTGGCCGTACGTATAATAGTATGCGCATATTCAGTGTCAGTTTCACTCACTGAACTTTCCCATATGCGTCCAAACTTTCTAAATTTAAAAAATACACCCCTTTCCGCATTACCATCGTAGTCGAGATATTGTTTCGAATTGTTTCACTTACCATCGTGTCTCGTAGCCAAAATATCGATATTTTTTTTTTCTTAAATAACAATTTCAGAAAACTAAAGCTGCTAAAAATAAATATTAGCAGCCATATATATAATCGTTAATCAGAAATTTGAATATCGATGAAACAATGATTAAATATTCGTTCATCGATGACTGTTGAAACTTAAATTAATTCTTAAC